ACTTTTGGGGTCCAGGTACTTGAACGGGGTCCAGGTACTTGAACCCTTTACGAGGGTTGGAGGGCGGAGTGCTGTGCCACACCAAAGACCAAAAGATGAAGACGAGGCAGTTTGATCTCACACCGGCATTCGCAAAGACAGTGCTTTTACAGTTTGTTTTGGTTTTAGGGTTTAGCGTTTAGGGTAACCCTAAACCCTAAACCCTTCATAGGATTTAGGCCCACCCTTTGAAAGCATATACGAATCAAAACGAACGAATCCGAATCCCCCAAAACACGGAATTTAGAAAGACAGGCAATCCTTGACCTGTGTAGGACTTTTGAATTTGAGGCTCAGGTCATGACCCTAGAACTCGAAGAATCCCTATTCCCTATCTAGACCTACACAATACCCGAACACCGGAACAACCTATAGTACCCTTGTCGTACGTCTCTCTCTAAGGTGCCTTATAGTCACCCTTACAGTACCGTATAGTAGCCCTACCCTCATAGTGCCTTCACACCAGCCCTCGGATGGAACTCATGGATCCTCCCAGATCCAGCTTGGAGGCCTTTGAATGCACAGTAGAGGCCAGAAAGTTGGAACATCATTATCCTCATACCCTTAAGGTACGGTATAAGGAATCCTAGCACTAATCATCCCGAGTCCATGTTCCAACTTTCTGGAGTTCACTGTAGGGTTGTGGTGGCTTCCTTCAAGGGTTTCAAAGACGGATTCTTCCAAGGTTCTATAAAGATTTAAAGGTTACCTTCAGGTTCAGGGGACATGGTAACTCGGGTTGTATTTACCTTAACCGGGGTGGGAAACAGTGATAACTGCAGCTATCTTCATTGAGGTTAATGTGGGGGTCGGTTTAGGAATATGGGCTCTTTTAATGCGTTTTCTCCGGGGCTAATTCCGACCGGTACCAAAAATTTGGGCGGTCTCATCAATGCGTTTTTTTTTTGGCTGGGGGATTTTTTTGGTGGCGGGGCTGTGCTATTTGCTGATCGTCAATCTTAAGGCAGCCACGACCTAAACCCCCACCCAAACCCCCACCCAACCCTAAAACCCTGGCCCTGAAGCCCGAAAATGTCTTGCAGAATTGTTTCGCTTATTGGGGCGTCAGGAATGGGACTCTGTACTACTACTGTACTACTATTGTACTATTGTACTGCTACTGTATGCCTTGCTTATTAGGGGGGGCTGCTAGGGTGAACCGCCGAATCGAGGATTGGACTCTAGCTCAAAAGATGCCTCTCCAGTACTAAAGTTTGTATAAAAAATTCAATTTTGGGTCCAATCTGGACCGACCCCCCTTTGGGAAGGGTTTAGGGCTTAGGGTTTAGGGTTTGTCAGGGTTTAGGAGTTTAGGATTCGTTAGGGTTTAGGGTTTGTTAGGGTTTAGGGTTCAGGGTTTAGGGTTTAGGGTTTCAGGCGCTGGCTTTATGCTTTGCTTATTGGGGGAATGTGCTCACTGGCTTTATGCTTTGCTTATTGGTATTATTTCTGTACTATTACTGTATTACTACTGTACTCCTGTACTACTGTTGTACTACCACTGTACTACTAGTGTACTACTGTACTACTATTGTACTACCACTGTACTATTACTGTACTACTATTGTACTACTGTACTACTATCGTATTACTACTGTACTACTATTGTACTACCACTGTACTACTGTTGTGTTACTATTGTACTACTGCACTATTATTATACTACTACTGTACTACTACTGTACTACTATTGTATTACGGTACTATTATCGTACTACTACTGTACTACTACTGTACTACTATTGTGCTACTTACTATTGTACTACTGTACTATTATTGTACTACTACTGTACTACTATTGTACTACCACTGTACTACTGTTGTATTACTATTGTACTACTGCACTATTATTGTACTACTATTGTACGACTACTGTATTATTTCTACTGTACTACTATTGTACTACTGTACTGTTATTGTACCGCACCAAGCTTCAGACGTGGTCGATTGTGGGTGGGAGTGTGTGTGAGTGTAGGTTACGGAGGCAAAAGTGTTCAAAATGAAGGGTTTTTAGTCTTGGTAGTAGTCTTGGAGTGATCGGGGCTTGGTTTCCAGCATTTGGTGATCCCCAGACCCCCCCGACCCCCGACCGCGCATTCGCGCAGAACCGCAGACCCTGCACCCAAGCCAACCCCCCAAACCCCGGCACCTCCCAATTCCCTGCCACTCAGACCCCTGACCCCTGTCCGGCGTCACCGGCTCCATATTAAATAGTTTTTTTATTTTTGGTCGGGGGGGGGGGGGGGGGGGGGGGGTCCCCTAAACCGACCGCCACATTAACAAACTGTTATGATATACTTTACCACAGGGGTTATACATAGCTGCCTTACTTCTAGCCTGGGCCCTGAACACTTAGCTGTCAATACGTACACTTGCGCTCTTTGGGCCACATGCAATCCGAGCGGCCTGAAACGCGAGTGGGCATGGCCTGCACGGCAAACCACAGGAAGGGCCCAAGGATTCTGGTTCTGCATTAGGGTTTTTTGTTTATGGGCTCTTTTCCACCTGCAGGTACAGCTAGAACTCCTGTACTAGGAGGAGCCTGTGGTTGAGACTGGATTCGGGTTTAGGGTTTAGGGTTCAGGATTAAGGGTTTTGGGTGGCAAGAAGTTTTGACCGAAACCTTTCGAAACGAAAGTTTAATATTCTAGGATACCCAGTAACCTAAGAATAAAAAGGCCTCTCTTTTTAGGGAATAAGGGTACTACTGGGCATCCTAGTATTCGTTTGGATGCTGAATTGAACATGGGTCTGGGCTGGGGCGGGGGCTTGGGGCTGGAGGGTTCCATTTTCGCTGAGGAATGGAGCGGGTCGGGGTGGTTCAAGGTGAAGAAAGGCATGCCGTTTCTAGTAAATTCTTTCTTGAGCTTGGGGCTTGGGGCTAAAGGGGCCTTTTTGTTTGAACTCCTTTTTGCGCCTGCCCGATCCTCCCGAGCTGACATAAAGGGGCGCGTTAGGGTTTGGGGTTTTGGCTTGCGAGTTTAGTGTTCTGGGTCCCCACACCTCATCCCAAAACCCTCAACACTAAACCCTAATCCGCTAAAGCTCGCAACCCCAAGACCTCAAAGCCCAACCCCGCAAAATTGAAGGGATTTGTCCCTAAACCTAAGGCCCTAGCCCGAAATCCTACACTCTAGACCCTAAGCGCTATAAGCCCTGAACCGTAAAAGCCTTGCAAGGGAAGCTCACGGACCGGACTTCGGGGATACTTTACCTCGAGGGTTCTTCCCTAACCTCAAACCCTAAACTCCTAAACCCTAAACCTTATAATCCCCTATACCCTAAACCCCTAAACCCCCAAACCCTAAACCCTAAGCCCTTTGGGAGGGGGGTAGCATCCGGGGTGCTTGAGGCTCCCCGGGTTCCTTCATAAAGGGATCTTCACGGGTTCCTTTAATAAATGGGAGCCATAAAGGATTGAAGTTTAAGGTTTGAGGGGTTTCGGAGCTTATGGGGTTTAGGGTTGGTAATCTTACCTTTGGTCTGTAGGGAACGGAGGAATGGGGTACAACTATAACTACTATTACTACAGTTCTTCCATTCCCTACTAACCAAATAAGCAATTCGGGGTCTGGGGACCTAGCTCTATTGCGAGTATTGGCTATATAGGCACCCCTAGTACAAAAAGGGCAGGGTATGACCCTCGAGGTACTTGGAGGATCATGGGACTGAGTAAGTAAGGTTATAAGTACCTTAATTGGGGTAATAAGTAGTTATAAGTATAGTTACCCTAAGTATAACCCTAGTTACCAAGTCCCATGATCCTTCAAGTAGGGACCCTAATACCCCTCATGGGGGGGGGGTTCTGTTAACGGGTTCCTTTCAGGATTCGCGCAGATTAAACGGTTTCGATATTTAAGGCTTTTTTAGGTTTAGGGTTTAGGGTTTAGGTTTAGGGTTATTTTTGGTTGAAATTCGGTGCGGGGTCCAAGCCAAATCAGAAACACCCTGGGAGGAGAGTCCGCGCAGCACCCCGTAGCGGACGCAAGGCTAGAATGAACCTAGGTTCTGACCCCAAACTCGGTACAGCGAAACCGGAACACACAAAGAGCCGAACCCACAAACCCTGTAAAGGAGGAGAACTGCTTCACCAGGTGAGAGTATATGCAGTATATGCATTGGGTGTTTCGGTGTTGCTTCTTTCAAGAAAAAACCATCTACATATCCATAAGATCCACTCACAAGAGCGCAGTGCCAAGCGCATTTTCCGACTCGATCTAAGTTCTGAACAGCATGAACTCGCGCAGCAACATACTTACCGCTGGATGCTTCCATTTTGAGGCGGGTGCACTCTCGAAGTCTTTGGCATGGTCATGGCGTGAAAAGACAAGAGGTGATACACAACAGCTCACATGAGCACTTGCCGAAAGAAGCCGCAATGAGGAGCTCGAGGAGGCCTGATAGCCACCGCAGCGCTCCGCAGAAATGAGGAGCTCGAGGAAGCCTGATAGCCACCGTAGCGCTCCCCAGAAATGAGGAGCTCGAGGAAGCCTAATAGCCACCGTAGCGCTCCCCAGTAGCGGCCTCGAAGCAAGCGAAGATCACATTCCCGGGCGGCGTGGGCGGGCAGCTTGAGCAATTCACAAGCGACCACACATTCACCCATCCTGCATTCAGTATTCTCGTGCTCGCACTTCCATACTTACCGCTGGATGCTTCCATTTTGAGGCGGGTGCACTCTCGAAGTCTTTGGCATGGTCATGGCGTGAAAAGACAAGAGGTGATACACAACAGCTCACATGAGCACTTGCCGAAAGAAGCCGCAATGAGGAGCTCGAGGAGGCCTGATAGCCACCGCAGCGCTCCGCAGAAATGAGGAGCTCGAGGAAGCCTGATAGCCACCGTAGCGCTCCCCAGAAATGAGGAGCTCGAGGAAGCCTAATAGCCACCGTAGCGCTCCCCAGTAGCGGCCTCGAAGCAAGCGAAGATCACATTCCCCAAAGCATCCCCAAGGCAGCAGCCTACGCGGATGGTAGCCACAACGTTGAAGGGTCAGTGGTCAGGTACGGCGCAGCCAAGACGTAAGCAAGATGTTGATAGAGCTGGGCAGGGTAGGGCGGGGTAGTGGAAGTGCTTGACCACTGCTTGTGTCGCTTTTGCGTGCGACTGCAGACGCCCTGAAAACCTCGACAGCGGAGCGGTGAAAGGCGCTCCAAATCCTGAGAGTCGAGGTTGCCAAACAATAAGCGGACAGGCCGTTTGCACTGAGCCCCGAGCTGGCAGGAATCCACTACCTGCGAGTGGACGTGCGGCAGAGCAGCAAGACTGTCAAAAGGCGGAAGAAGCCACAGCTTGCTGCCTAAAGGGTGCACAACGCACCACGGGAGCCGATAACGATCGAGGGCTCCAATGAGGCGCAAAACAGATTTTGCACACGCATTGCCGAAAAGGACGCGTTGCTGGTCTGCTGGAGCCAGTGTGGAAAAAGGCAGCCCCCATGGGTCGGCCCGGTTCCTGATGACTGCTGTGCGATCTCTCGCAACTGAGAAAGAGTTCATCGATGGAGCAAAAACAGCTCCGAGAACCTCAGCGCGCTGTATGCTCACCAAAATCTTGTGGAGCACGCTTCGGTCCGTCAAGTCGAAGCGTGCACCGTGTTTCACATCAACCTCGTAAGATCTAAAGCCCAATGCCCGCAAACACCTGCTGACCCCGCCACTGCCAGAGAACAAATCCAGGAAATAGCGAGAACGGTGCTTTTTCATGGCAGTGCCGGAGCCGCCTTTCGACCGAGGATGACATCCCCTAGATGTTCTTCGCACCACAGCGCGTGCTGGCGCATCTTGCAGGACAGGTCCAGGAAGGCGGCGCCCAGTTTGCCTGATTTCTCGTAGCGCATCACCGATTTCGCACTTTTCCAGTTTCCTCGCTTCTGAATTTCCAGCGGGCTGCGCCACCCTGGGTCCGGAGTGACGCATCTGGTACGGCGACAGCTGCAGGCCCAACCCTTGGGCCGCAAGGCTGAAGGCCTTGACGTAGTCGCCGTAGCTGAAATCCCACAGTGGCGCGGTGGGCTCTTGCTTCTTCAGGAGTCCGAAAACTGAAAGGGACCAGGGCTTCAAGTAGGAGGAGTCGAGGCTGACGGACAGGTCGTATTCGCCTGTTTTTCCAGGAGTCTCGAGATGCTCGGGTGACAGAAGCAGGGTCCACTCGGCCGTGGCCGACCTCACTGGAGGGATGAGTGAGTACGTCGTGCATCGGAGAAGCTCGGATGGGCGGGCATAGGTGCTGAGGGCGACCATAGTGTAGACCGCCATACGTGTACGCTTCATCCGGCGGAGCTCGCAGGCGATGGCACACCAAACTGCGAGTGGCCAAGGCCGGCGACTGTGAGCTGGGCACAACCTTCTCCATCCCTTTAGCGCCCTCCAGCTTCGTGGTAGTTTGCGACTCCCTAGTCTGCCGAACGACGGGTTTGAGTGCATGAATGAAGCCAGCAATTTCTCGCCTTTGTGAGCTTGGTGACCCTTCCAAAAACACGCATTCATGAACTTGACGATCGCCGCATCCACCTGTTCGTCCGTGCGGAAGGGAAGCCCCTGCCGTTTCACGAAATCGTGAAGGAGGTTCAGCTCGGTTTGATAGTAACGCTGCACACGACTGGTAACGGCCTGGTCCTCCAAGAGAGTCGACCCTTTCTGAACCGCTTCGAAGGCTTGGTCGAGATACTTCCTGAGCCTGCGCTTGACTCGGGCTTTGGGGACGCGGTTCTTCTGGACCTTGGCTGTAGGTGTGGTCTCTAGTTCCGGATCGGTCGTGCTCGACGATGAGCTCCTTTCTGATGCTTTCCGGGGCGGCTTGACCTTCAGAAAAGCGCTCTCGGTGGAAAGATCCGCACTCAACCCCCTCGCTGTGACTAGCGAGGCTCGAAGGTCCCCTTCGTGAAGGACTCGATCTCTCCGCGATGGGGCAGGGACAGTGGGACCGTGAAGTGTCCTGGTTGTGTGCGCTCGCTGTCTCTTTGATGTGCTCGGAGGGCTCAGAGTGCGCTTTCGGACCCCCGTCCGCATATCTTGAGGGAGCGTCCGCACTGTTCAGTTCCGATGCTATCCATCGGATAGAAACTGCAAGGTTTCTACTGAGGCACCAGGCATTGAATTTTCGGATAATCTTAAGAACACGTGTGTTGCGAGATCGTGATCTGCTGAAGGCCAGGACCACTGACATGTTGTCACAAAGTAGTAGTTGTCGGGCATCCCTACCGAAACTGCCCTTCGCAATCCTGACGAGCGATTTGAGCAGCGCCAAACTTTCGAGTTCAAAGATACCCTCCGAATGATGCCATGTCCCCATAAGCTTAGTGCTCCAGCGATGGGGAGCCAGCAAAGGAGACGGAACCTCGGGGAACTTGTCGTTGAGGCTCCATCCGGAATCCCGCAGGGACTAAAGAACAAAGACCAGGAACATCCCATACACAAAGGTGCAGGCATAGGATATATCAAGTCGTCGCGGGCCAGGGTGATGCCTCCGAGCGAAGTGCCTTGCAGTCCCACCCAGCCGGCAGGTATCGGATCTAGTGCGACATACTCTCGAAGCCACCGGGGTTGAGTCATCCTGTGGAAACAATCTTTTACATCTGAGAGGCCCACTGAAATGGTCGGATCCTGATCTGAGCAGTCCTCCATCTCGAACCTGGCGAAAGCTTCGGCAGTGGCCAGACTGACACCAGGCGGCTCCCGTAACCGCGCGTTGGCTCGCCGGCCGTCAATGATCAAGCGGATCTTATCATTGGCCTTATTAACGAAAAATATACCGGCTCTCTCTTTCGGTTCCAACGTAAAGTCCAGGTAACCAATCTTATGCAGGTGTCGAATGAGATCCTTGTAGGCTCGAGAACTGTTGCGAAGTGCAGGGTCCCAGTATGGAACGATATCACACTGAAAGTCTTCTTCTGGTCTTAACATGCGCTCAGGGGCCTCCAGGTAGTGAACGGGCATCATCCGGCAGCAAGGACAACACGTCGGGTGATCCATGCAATGATTCCGGCATACTGATGCGCTCACGGCGGTAGGCCGCCAAAGTGGACACGGAGTCGACGTAGTCGTCGGCGCCGCGGAGCAGCTCCCGTAGGGCTGCCTCCGGGGTAGGCGGTGAAGAAAAGCTTGCATCCAACTCATATGCCTCGGATGAAAGCTTCACCACCCTCTCGACGATCTCGGACTGAAGCGCCGAGGGAGTAAAAGTAGCCTGAGACGGACAACCAGCCATCCAATTGAGGGTCCGGAGCCCGTCGTTCACGAATTCTGTCTTGCGCAGGCGGCGCGCCTGTCTCTGTGACGATCGCCTGCTCAATCTGCACAAGGACCTTCCTTCCGGCATCAAAGGCAGAGGAAAAGGTCCTGAGCCGGGATTTGAAAAAGAAGCCGAGGCGCCACCCGGAAGAGCACCTCTGACGCGAGGGTTCATGTCTTCGGCGGGGCCTCCAGCCCTTTGGCTGTACGGCCCCGCCCACGTCCACGTCCGGGGAGAGCAGGGGCAGGTGCTTCCGATTGATCACCAGTCTCATTGCCCTCACTTGCATGGGACCCGAGGCGTTTGGCGTCCCGGATCTTCGCCCTCGCCTGCGCTAACTCAACTTCTTCTTTCCCTCGTTTTGCAGCCCAGGTACGAAGTTCTGGGCTGACGATGTCATCTGCGGTGGCTTGCCCTGTGTACAATCTTGCATGTGACCAATCTGGACCGCTGCCGCCTGAGGCGCCGGAGAAAGCCTCAACGATGGTCTGGATGCGGCGGCTGGCCGCCTCAAACGAAGCCAGGCTTGCAAGGTTCAGCTGATCGTAGCATCCGCCAAGGTAGACAATGTCGACGAGGGTCTTGAGCTCATGACAGACACGGTCACTCTCACTGACATTGTGTTTGCGGAGCCATAGCTGCAACCAGCTCTTCGGCTCTCCCCCGTGTCTCTGGATATGCTTGAGCATATGCATGGTGGATTGAGGACCTTGGTATGGCCAGTCTGCGAAGCTATGGGTCACACACTCCTGCACCACACTGCGCCACTCTCGATGTCTCTCATTCTGATCGTCATAGATGATCCAAAGAGTCCTGACGTCCTCACCCGCCTTGTCCTTGAACACGGTCCCTTCATCGTCCTCCGGAGTGTCCTTGACGGCAGGGAGGAGTTTCAGGTCGTCGGCGAGCGCCTCATCAGACTCGAGGTGGGAGTTGAGCTCAGATGCCCTCGCTTTCTTCCATGAGGCTTCCTGTCCTGTTGCAACCCACTCTACGCGAACCCATTGGCCCCGAACACGGGCAACCCCGTTCTCATCGTCAAGCTTCAGGTCTTTGTTGAAGTCCGGAATGATGGGTGAACCCAGGGGAAGTCCATGTCTCGGATCAGCTACCAGCCAGGTGCCTGGGCCGGACGCTCCTGGAGTCTCGGTCCTGTCTCGGGGTCCCTTGCCTGTCAGTCGCCGGGCCGGGCGACGCACACCGACCACATCTTGAATTGGCGCTAAGGAACCGTCTGCTAGCTCAACCTGGACATCTGACAAGTCGGGTTCTCTACCGTAAGAACGGGTATGCTCCTGGATGGCTTCCTTGATCCACTTCCGTAAGTCGTCGTCCGTGAGATCTTCCTTGAACCTGTAGACCGCGACCCTCAAGTTGGGTAAAGTCTTTACCCCAAACGGGACATGCCGGACTCGTCGGGGTCCTTCACTAGAACCTCCCTGGAAGTCCTCCTCGTATAGGTCAGCGTCAGGGGTACGAACCCAATATGACTCGGGAGACCCGCCTGGTAGCAGGACTCGACGCTCGTGCCATACATCATCGTCGTCATAGTACACGACTGCCTTATTGCCGGGTCGGAGCTTCCAGAACGCCACCATGCTTCGGAGATGACGGAGGAGAGGCAGGGGGCCTCTTGCTGACCCTTCCAAGGATGAAGGCCCCGACGTGTGAGAAGGAACCCAAGCCTAGCCAGATCAGACCCCAGGGACGCGGAGCAGTCTTCTCTCCGACCTCGAGTGTGGACACCTTCTTCTCTGGTTCAAAGGCTCGTTCGGCTATGGCGCTACAGGAATCACTCACTCTACGGGCCACCAAATCAGCGACCTTGGGTGCCAGATCCTCGACCGCAGCACAGGACCTCGACACTTCGTAGGTTCGGTCGAGGGTCTTAGCCAGAAGGAAAATCAGCCCCAAGGAGCTGCGAGAGAACATTTTTCAGCTTGAGCCATTCACAAGCGACCACACATTCACCCATCCTGCATTCAGTATTCTCGTGCTCGCACTTCCATGCCTCGTGCATTGTACAAACATGCGAGAAAGAGTAGCAATGATGATAGCAGCCTGGTCACCAAATTTTCTGAATCTGTTCCACTTCTACGACCTCGCAAGAAAGTACGACCGTCAGAAAGCCCCAAGCCCTACAACTTGGACTTGTTGCCTTTCCTACCGCTATACTGAATTTAGAACCCTAGCAAAAATGTAATTTTAGCTGTTTCTTAGGGATTATAATAACCAAAAAACAAAAATTATTTCTAAGTACCCCTAAGACCAGACTTGCGCAGTTGTCTGCCTGCCGAGGGCATTCGGCGCCTGAATCTCACGGCGAAGCCGATTCCTGAGCAATCCCCACAACGGCTTCCTCGACCCCTAGAAGTAGGTAAAATAGTAGCCCAAAACCTATAAAAAGCTATTGTTCTACATACTTTTGGGGTCCAGGTTTGAAGTTTGGATTGAAGATTGAAGGGTGAATGGCGTGTGAGGGTTTAGGGTTTTAGGGTTTAGGGCTTACCATTCAAGCAGGAAGTCTGCAAGAGAAAATGCTCCTTGGACTTCCCCGCATCACGTATACACCCTAGGGTTTAGGGTTTAGGGTCCCCAAACCCTAAGCTCTAAACACACTCGAACACTAGTGACGGGGCTGCTTCTCCTCAGCCTCCTCCTTCTGCCCTTCTATTTGGCTTAGCATTTGGGTTTCAGGGAGTTTAGGGTTCAGAACTTTTTGTCTTGGAATTTGGGCGTTCGGGTTCTTGCGGCTTGCATCTTTATGCTTGTCATTTGGCTTACCTGTACAATATCAAACTCAGGTTCCAAAATATGAGTTCCTTGTACAAGTCCATCCAAAAAATATGGTTAGGGCTTGGGGTTTAGGGTTTGGGCTCGCGGGGAATGCGATGAGGATCGGACAATTCACGACCTCTAGGTTCTACCTCCTCGCATGGTGGACTAAGGTCTGACCTTGAAAGAGCCAATAGGCTTGAAGCTGTGCATAGTCCGAAATGGGCTGTGTCACGAATAAGATGGAAAGCTGCTAAGGAACCCCGACACATGCCAGCTCGCAGTGCTTGAGTTACGGTGCTTAGGAAATCCTCGTGCCCAAACCGGAACGCCATACAAACACAATCACATCTGCATACTGAAATCTACAACTTCACCAACGGCACATCATAGATTGTAAGCCTATGAACCTTAAGCCCTTAAATCTGTAGGTAGAAGAGCTGAAGAGGGAAGCTGCAGAAACCCAGAAGGGTGCTCAACATTCTATAGACTCTTTAGACGCATATCCCTGCCACACCGCCCGAAGGCAAAGCTGCCCCGGAAACAACGGCTTATCCTAATGTAAGAACCTGATTAAGAAACGATGGGCCAATAACCACAAAATACTACGATTCGTAACAGGAACGCCAACAAAGGCCCGAAGGTATCTGATTCAGGTTCCTACAATATCAGACAGCCATGCAATCGAATGAGACCCCAGCAGCCCATTTGGAATTCTTACTTGGAGGATCATGGGACTTGGTAGGTAAGGTTATAAGTACATTAATTAGGGTTATAAGTGGTTATAAGTATAGTTACCCTAATTATAACCCTAGTTACTAAGTCCCATGATCCTTTAAATAAGGTTCGGTCCCAGGGGCTGGATGCCAGGGCCACACTCTTCGGAACACGAAGCCCAGGACGACCAGGGGCCCAGCTGGCAGTTCACCGCCCTTGGGGTTTAGGGTTTAGGGCTTGGGAGGGCATTCGTTTTCTCTTCTCTCCGCACATACAGCTAGCAAATAGTACTGCCGCATCTACTAGCCACTTCTAGTAGTAGCTGTAGTAGTAGTAGTAGTAGTAGTAGTCGTCGTCGTCGCAGTAGTACTAGTAGTAGTAGTAGTAGTAGTAGTAGTAGTAGTAGTAGTAGTAGTAGTAGTAGTAGTAGTAGTAGCAGCGGCAGCAGTAGCAGTAGCAGCAGCAGCAGCAGGAGCAGGAGCAGTAGCAGTAGCAGTAGCAGTAGCAGCAGCAGCAGCAGCAGGAGCAGTAGCAGTAGCAGTAGCAGCAGCAGCAGCAGCAGTAGCAGTAGGTAGCAGTAGCAGTAGCAGCAGCAGCAGCAGCAGTAGCAGTAGCAGTAGCAGCAGCAGCAGCAGCAGGAGCAGTAGCAGTAGCAGTAGCAGCAGCAGCAGCAGCAGGAGCAGTAGCAGTAGCAGTAGCAGCAGCAGCAGGAGCAGTAGTAGTAGTACTAGTAGTAGTAGTAGTAGTAGTAGTAGTAGTAGCAGCTTAGCGATTCGGCAGAAGTCGTCCCTTGGTGCTGTACAAATAACGATAACCGTATTACGGAGCCTTCTGTCCCTAAGGGCTGAACCCGGGGTTGAAGGTTTAGGGATTGCCCCTAGGGTCCAAAGGGTTCCTTTAACGGGTTCTATAAGGTTTCCTTTAAAAGGGCTACTGTAAGGGTTCCATTATATGGGCCTTAATACTTAGGTACTCGGGTTTAGGATAGTAGTTATGTAGGTTAGGGTTTTGGAGAGTATACGATTATTAGGTACTTGGACCCTTGGGGTTAAGGCTAGGTTTAGGGCTTACGGTTAAGGGTTCACGGTTGCTGCTGCAAGTAACTACAGGACGGATTGTACGCCCAGAATAGAAGAACAACAATAAGACGGAACCCCCACAAGAACGTGGACAACAACCCAAATGCCTAAACCCTACCGCGACCCCTCAACTGCCCTTCGATAGAGCCCTTATCCTTTATAGTGGGCATTTAGGGTGTAGTAGAGGGTAATTAGGGAGTCTAGGTAGACCCTAAACCCTAAACCGAGGTGCTTTAAGCACTCCTCCAGCTCGCACTGCCGCTTTCGCTGCAGCTCCGATGGTCCAGGGATTGGCTTGCACTTCTGGCCGAGGATTACATTTGGATCTGGGGATTCATGCAGCAGGTTTAGGGTGGAGGGTTCAGGGCCCAGGGTTTAGGGCTTCGGGCTCCTTTTGGACTGGAGATGGTTTGTACTTTAACTTACTCCTCCAATAAACCTAAACCGTAAATCCAGAAACCCTAAACCCCACACCTCGCGGCAATAAGATCATCCTAGACTCGGAATAAAGACTGCCCGCGCTCGCAATCCCAACAACTATAAAATCTGTCGATAGAAGCCAGGAAGTCGGAACAGGCGTGCTTCGAAACCCTAAGGCCTAGCGCAAATGGCAGAAACACGAAGCGGTTTAGGGTTTGGGGTTGCGGATGTTGCATCTTATGGCGTTTGCTGCAGACACTGCAGCGTGAGATGCCTTTCAACACATCTAACCACGCTTCCAACTAGTGCGGCCCGGTGTGTAGTCCAAACAACACCGAGGATGGCGTGTACATTACTGTACTGAATTGAGAACCCTAGCAAAAATTAAAAAAAATAGCTGTTTCTTAAGGAGTATAATAGCCAAAACTCAACAATATTTCCATAAGACTATAGCAGTTCCTGCAAACTCTTCTTGCACCGCGAAAGCTCTGGAAAAAAAAAACCTTCCCAACACAGGCAGCTGGCGGGTCCTTGGGCTTTGAAGTAACCTTGTATTTGATACTGCTTCCTGTTCGGAGCAGGCCCAACACAAAAGTTCAAACAGCACCCTGAACCCCTAACCCTACACCCTAAGCCCTTTGACACACCTAAACCCTAAACCCCATGAACCCTAAACCCTGCTTCTTGTAACCGCTTTACGAAGGTTTGTGCAGGTTGAGGTCGCGGGATGGCTCAGCTATGTCTCTCATGTCACAAAAAGTTCAAACAGCACCCTGAACCCTTAACCCTACACCCGAAGCCCTGTGAAACACCTAAACCCTAAACCCCATGAGCCCTAAACCCAATAAGAGACCCAAACCCACGGTCCTGCGGACCATAGGAGCGATTTGCAGAGTTCGATCCGACCTCGCCGAAAAGCAGAAGTCGTTTAGGATTTATGGTTTGGGTTTAGGGTTTAGGGTTTAAGGTATAGGGTTCAGGGATTAGGGTTTAGTGTTTAGGGTTTATGGTTTAGGGTTTCGGGTTTAAGGTTTAGGGTTTAGGGTTTAGGGTTTAAGGTTTAGGGTTCAGGGTTTAGAGTTTAGGGTTCAGGGATTAGGGTTTAGGGTTTGGGTTTAGGGTTTAGGGTTATAGGGTTTATAGGGTTTGGGTTTAGGGTTTAGGGTTTAGGGTTTAGGGAAAAGGGTTTAGGGTTTAGGGTTTAGCGGGGTTTAGGGTTCAGGGATCAGGGATTAGGGTTTAGGGTTAGGGTTTAGGGTTTAAGGTTTAGGGGGTTTATGGTTTGGGTTTAGGGTTTAGGGTTTAGGGTTAGGGCCTCAGGGTTTTGGCCTTCGGTAGGTCCAGGGTTGCGGGCTTGTGGGCTTAGGTTTAGGTTTAGGTTTTAGGGGCGAGGGTTGAGGGCTTTGAGTTGAGGACTTAGTAGAATTTTGGGTTTTCGGTTTAGGGTTGTGGGGTGCCAGGCTCGAGGGTTTAAGAAGGCTTTAGTGCTTTGGGCTCAGGGGTGGGTCTTGGAGCTTAGGATACAACCTCTCAGTGCTGTCTTGAGCGTGGTTTACAGTTTCCTTGCCAGAATCAGAAGACTAGTAATTAAGTGCAGACCACAAGCT